CCCGGAAAAACACAATTTGTCCCCGATTTTAAATTTTAGGAAATTTTCATATAAATTGCAAGAAAAAAAATAATTTTTCATAAAAAATCTGTTAACAATTTTTCAAAAAAATGAAAGAGATATGTAGTGCGAAAAAAAGTCGTTCCACTTAAAATTTATGGGTTTTTTTGTGAAACGTAAAATAATTAATTTAATAAATGAAAGCGAACTTTTTGATGAATTTAATTTAATGAGAGAGTTTGTCATTAATAATCAATCGGCACGGTCATCTGAAAGAAAAACTGGAGAAGCTATTTGGTTGGAAATTTTTAAACATCACCGCGAAATGGCAACTCAACTTGTAAATATGGAGAAATTAGTTGAATTTGCATTATCAATTCCCGGTACATCGGTAGAAGTTGAAAGAATATTTTCAATTATAAATCGAGTATGGACTGACGAAAAAAGTGGATTAAAAATTGACACACTTGATTCCTTAATATCAATCCAACATAATAGCGATGAAAATTGTGTTCAGTTTTTTAACTTAGTTAAAAATAATTTTAAACTATTAGAACAGGTTCATGATTCAGAAAAGTATTAATAAAAATGATTATGATCTAACATAAAACTTTTTATTAAAAATTGATTTAATGTATTTTTATAGTACGATTTCAAATGTCCCCGATTTTTATTCAAATGTCCCCGGATTTTATTAAAAACCTCTGGTCAGCCTAACTAAACCCTTGGAAAGTTTTTACATCATTTGTAAATCCCCAGTTAGGTATTTAAAACATATTACAACGTTTTTTAGACGTCTAAAACACATATTGTGATTACTGGGATCTTTTATAATATTTAAAAGCTATACTTTTAGATTACTACTGTGTTGCAGAAAAAAGTAGCAACTGAAACATGTGCGTTAAAAGCAAACAAATACAACTATTTAAAATTAGATTAAAATTTAACATTTTGACAGAAAATTATGAGAAAAAATGAAATTTAAAAACCTTAAAAAAAAGTTGTTTTTTTTAAGCATTTGAAATAAGACCGAATACAACACATAATGGAATCATTCTACAACCTGACCTTGTAAGAAGCATAAAGATTAAATTAAAGGTGATTTTAAATCATTTAAAAAAAGATATACTTGGTTTCACGGAATTGATAAAAAACAAACAAACAAACAAACAAACAAAACAAAAAAAAAAAAAAAAAGTAGAATCAGTAGAATTATTTTTAATAAATGTACTTTTGAAAGTTTTTATTCATAACAAGTTTTTATCAAGATTATTAACAACAAAAAACGAGCTACAACTTAATATTTTTTAAGCTTAACTAAATATTTTTTAAGAAATTAAAATACAAATTTCTTGCATTTAATCTCATTATCATACCCAATTCTATTTCACATAAAAATCACATAAAATAAGAAAAAAGAATAGAAATGACATAAAATAGAAATGACATAAAATAGAAATGACATAAAATAAGATAACACTATAGAAGTCAACCAGTAAGAGGAGGGTGTGGCGATCTTGATCAAGATAAGACAAATAGTTGCCGACAAAATAACAACTGATTTCAATAAAGCTATGGCTATGTATGAAAAACACAAGTTAACTGCACAAGCAATATACAAACTCATTTAAATAGAATTCTCCATGAAAAAAGATATATAAATATATATATATATATATATATATATATATATATATATATATATATATATATATATATATATATATATATATATATATATATATATATATATATATATATATATATATATATATATAGTTTATTGTTTGTTTTATATTTACTTTAAAATTTTGTTGAAATTAAATAAACTTTAAAATTATCATTGTGTCTGATAAGTAGATATTATAAGAATACACATTCACTATACTCGCAGTGGAGTGTGCACATATACAATAGGAGGCTGTATTGAAGAGTGTATGCCCTTGACTGACTTAGTGACTAACTTAACTAGTGATAGGTGCAGCCGGTTGTCCATAAAACGACTGATGAACAGTGGAGTTCCCATAAATTGGCTTAAGGGTTTAGCTTAGGCAGTTTTTTGGTTTAAATTGGGTATGATGTGTTAAGAATGAAGCTTCAAATAAATGGGATTGACTCAAATTGAACTTTTAGAGTTATTGAAGAGCGAATTTAAAGTTTATAAATTGTTTTAAGTTTTTAATTTATATCAGGTTATTAGTAACTTTTTAACAATGTTCTTATGAGGTGTAGGTCTTGAGACTTGAGTTTTGGTCCCGAGATGTCTCAAGACTTATATTTAACTGCCTCTGTCTTAGTTTTAAAACTTGTAGTCTTGGTCTTGGTCTTAAAAACACTGAGTATTTGTCTTGGCATTAAACCTTTGCAGTCTTGTACTTTCTTGATTTTTACAAAAATTACTAGTAACAATAATTTCTTACTTATATCTCTACCATTTTCTCCTGAAGCTGATACCTCTCTACATACTGATACCCAAAGCATTTAAATCTTTCCTGACAAATATTGTTTAATACAACTTTTTTGTTTAATACATTTACTATTTATTAAACTTAATTACTTCCAACAAAGTTACAAGCAACCACTACAAAAATATGAGTAACTAGAAAACAAAATATAGAGTTAAAAAACATAAGCTAATGATTTAAAAAGTGCAGGTTGCATGAGTATGAAAAACATAAAGTTGGATGAGAGTTTTGAGGTTTTGTGCAAGGAAAAAAAACTAGATTTTACAGCATAAAGGAACAGAGTAAAAGGATGCGACTTTGCTAAATGACCAGCCAAGCTAGAATGAGTTTTGGTTTAGCAGCAACAATGGTGTTATTTGTAAAAAAAAGGAGATATAACCTTACGATGATGATAGAGTGGGTTGAAGTTGTCAGATAAAGCAGGTCCAACTACATTTACAATGTGCTTTTGGACTTTTTTTGAGAGTGAGAGATTTATTTGTCAATGTAGGTATGTCAACAGTATTGTGACTTATTAATAGTTTAGCAAGAATTGAAGAAAGTTCTGGAGAACACTTTTGTACGACTATTAGAGAAGGAATGTTAGACTTTAGTTATGACTCTATTAAAGATTTTCCAAAAGTCTCAGAACCTAACCTCTGAGATAAGATATAAGATTTAGTAAACTGAGAAAAATAGAGCTTAGCAACAGACAGGACCTTTTTACGTTATGTTCTTGTAAAAAAGATGAAAAAAATGATCATGGTTTAACATAGCGACTGCACAAGAAAGTAAAAAAAGTTGAGTAGAATGAGGCTTGACTTTAAACTGGTGAGAAGGAATAAAAGATTGCATGCCTGCTTGGATCCAGGAGGTTAGGTAAGAGGTCCATTTATGCATACATAATATGAATATACATGGATATAAACATATATGTTTGCTATTTATTTAGATGCTGGCATACAATATCTTTATATATTTATATAAACTTTAGTATTTATATGGTGTAGTATTTGCTGAAAGAGAAAATGAATGCATGGTACGACTCTGACAATACATGAAAAGGAGCCATAATCTTAGTCAAAGAATTGAAAAAATGATAAAGATGTTAAAAAATTTAAATGTCTAGTCTTTTTTTATTTTTATTTTTTGCTTACATAAATGTCAATATAGTTATTTATTCTGTTTTATATTGATATGACACCTAATGTTGTTGATAATTATATGTGCTATAATTGAGTTAATGTTGTTAAGTAAATATAGATCACTTCACTCTATTGGTGCTAATTTGATATTGTCATTGCAATGCTTACTGATTATATTGCTGAAAAAAGACTTAAATGAATGTTCATATATTCACTTTGAAGTTTTAAAAGTTTTTATTTTGAGTGTTGTACTTGATTTTATCTAGATTAATATAATCAAATTGTTTGAATAAGTTCATCCATTTCTTGTAATAAATTATTGCATAGTTTTAGTGCTCTGCATAAAAATTGATGATTAAAACCTTGTAAGTTAAACGCCTAAAGTTGTTGATTGATTTGAAATATATCTTTGTTTTGAATATTAATTTTGAGTAGTAATGCTTTGCTAAGGCTTAGTATTTCTTTTTTTGTGTAGTAAAAAATTTTTGAAAAATTGTAAACAAACTTTGAAGGCTTAATCAAATATATTAGTTATTGAGAACAATTTTTCGTATGCTTTTGCTTTTATCTCTTTTATGTGTTTGCTAAAATGAAATTTACTGTTTATAATGACAATCAATTTTGAACTTTTCTCATCATTATGGTTTGAGTTTTGTTTGCTTTGGGTATTCTGCAGTTTTGCTGTAACTTCTGTATCAATTAATTCAAATACCCATTTTACGTTCAATTCTTTGATCTTCCAGAAAAGTGTGCTCCATAGCTGGTACCATATTAAATTTGATTAATACGATTGATGTTGGCAATATTACTTTAGATGTATGCTTATTTGTTAAAATCATTGCTATAGTTTTATCCCAATCGATTTTTTAATAATTTTTGTTGGAATATCTTTATAACATTAGCTGCTTTTTTCTTTTAAGTTTTTGATTGCATCAATGATTGCAAATTTATAATTAGGAAGAAATAATAAATTTAATTTTTTTAAATCTTATTAAATTTTTAAGCTAATTTTTTAAATCTTATTAGCTATTTTAAGATTATTGAAAAAATTGTTAATAAAGTTATAAGAATCATTAAGTACGCGATCAGAATTAAATTTGAATCTACTAAAGAATTTGTTTGAAAAATAATGACTTGTATGAAAAATAATGACTTGTAAATAATGACTGAAAAATAATGACAACATTTGAGTAGGCCTTCTTCTTGTTGTAAAGTATATAATCAGGAAAGGGAGTAGAGAGAATAGGGAAGGGAGAGATAGGGAGGAAGGGAGAATAATAGAAAAAGAAGAATAATAGAAAAAGAATAATAATAATAAGAATAATAGAGAAAGGGAGAATGATAATAATAATAACAATAATAATAATAATAATAATAATAATAACAAATACTTTATTGTTTTTTGCTTTAGGTTCAAAAGACAATGTTATAGTTTATATCTTGGTTTACTTTCCTTTTGTAATAGGTATAGTTTATTTTAATTTTGTGCGTATTGAGGTAATTGGATAATAGCAAGAAATAATCGACATTGCATTTTGGCTCAAAGAACTCCTCATGAAAGTTTCTATAAACTAAACTTTAAATTTAAACAATTTAAAAACTTAGAAATTTTGTAGAGAAAACATAATGCAAAAAAAACAAAACCAAAAAAACAAACAAAAAATACAAAAAATCTCTTTTGAGATGTTTATACTTTTACCAAATCAAAACTAGGCAGTGCTTAAACCTTTTGTGCTAAACTATAATTCTTATTTGAAAAGATTTTTAGTCCAAAATTTTTTCTTTATATGCAGATACACCCAAACCCCTTACATTAGTTGATGATATTATATATCGTTGAAAATTGATTATATATCATTGAAAACTCACTTATCTTTATTATAGTTTGATGTTATTTCAAGTATACACATGTTAGTAGATTTTTTTTTAGGTTCTTTAGAAAAGTTATACAATTTTGAATATCTTTCTGTTGACATATTAAATGGAGAGGATGATGGTACTACATCTGTACCCAGATTACCAATCCCTTTGCCATTTTGTAAACTAGAGACTACAGACTCTATTTATGTAAGTTATAAAAGTTTTTTGAAAATGAAATAATGATCATAATATTTATGAATAACATGTTCATCATGATCATCATGATCATTATGATTATGATGATCATGATAATCATGATTATCACGATCATGATGATCATGATAATGATGATCATGATGATCATGATTATGATGATCATGATGACCATGATCATGATGATCATTAATCATGATTATCATGATCATCATTATCATGATGATCATGATGATCATCATTATCATCATGATCATCATGATGATCATCATGATCATGATCATTATGATTGTTATCATCATTATTTTAGGGGATTCAATTTTATGTAAGATTTTATCTAACTATTAAGAATGTAACTAACTATAACTGCTGTATCTAATAACTCTCAGCTGTAACTAATCTCAATTGTAACCTGTTTAAAAATTTTTCAATACTCAAGTCTAAATTAAATTGATTATTTATCATGTTTTTTACAAGTATCTGAACTTGATCTATTTTATTTTATCCCAACAGTGATTGTTAAAGAAGAAGCAACAGTTATTTTTTTCAGAATGTTGGATTTAACAAAAAATTTTTTTCTCTTGTTTTTGTTCTTTCATTGTTGTAAAAAATTTATTCATTTATTGTTGTAAAAATTTATTGAACTACAACTTATACCTGTTTACAATGAATCTACTTTTTAAGGTTTGCACAAATGGGCTTGTTGCTTTAGGAGAAGAATACTGTCCTTTTGATGCTGGGAAATATGGTGATGAGTTTGCAACATCCAACCCAGTTTTAGCACCCTTTTATTCTGATATTACCCTAGCATCTGCAAGTTTTGCAAAGAATTCTGGGAGCATAAAAAGTGCTCTGCATCTCTTTGGAATTTCATCAAAAGATATTTTTGAACGAGCTAATAAAGACGTACAAAATTTTATGCATTTAAATGTCTTTGATGCTGTATTAGTATATATTGCAACTTGGTTTGATGTACGAGGTTGGGGAGCAAATGAGGTTTTGTACATTTTATTTACTTTAAAAAGTTTTTTTTTTAACTATCTAATTAAATTATAAAAACTTTGTTTTATGCAGCCAAATTTATGAAATTCTTAAATATTTTATGAAATATATTAATTCAGTTATATTTATGAAATAAAGAACAACGAATTTTTATACAATAAAATAGATAGGGTAGTATATTTTTTGAAAGTAAAGACATAAAATCTCAAAGATTTTCAGCCAAGAAGAACCTAAATAGTGTGTATATACCTAGGTTACATGCAGAAAATTGTGAAAATATAGTTATTGTGTATTGTATATGTGTAAAAAATACCAAATCATTTCATTAAATAAAAGTTTAAGTTGTTAATCTAGCGTGCAACATTTCAAGTGGCAATAATAACTGATGGAATCAGATCTTTTGTTCGTTTTTCATATCATGATATGTTGTTACAAAATTTGTTAAAAAATGTTCAAGTTGGATATAAACTGGATGACAGCAATGATTGTGAAGTATCACTTAATATTTCAATTAATGGATATGAGTCATATACATACCCTTTAGATAAAATTGAAGGTAATACAGGTGAAAATGGTGTTTGGATGTTTGAAATAACAAAAGATAAGTTTCCTATTACTGATTTAAAAAGTAAGATTTATTTTTAGATATTATATTTAGTTATTTATTATATCAACTATTTTTTTCTTGTTATAAGATTAATTTAGTGTATGTTAGAATATAGAGTTTTAATGAGAATTTTTTTTTTGAGTACTTTTACTTTTTTGTTTAATGTTTAAAACCTTTCGGTTCACATTGGCTTTTAAAATTTTTCACTTTTATGTATGAATATTTTTTATATTTTAAAAAATGTATAAAATGAGTAACTGGGAGCTCCAACTTACATATAGAAGCACGAGACTGAAACCAGTTTTTGTTTCAGTCTTCATGCTTCTATATGCAAGTTTCATTTTGATTCTATACGTTAAAAATAAATGTTAATGGGATATATATAAAAAATCTACTAAATAATAACGCATTACATCTGTGTTATAAAAATTATAAAAAAATTGCTTATTGCTTGGTTTTTATTTTTACCAATCCAATTAATTAAAAAAGTTATTTTTGTTCCCCAAAACAAATTTTAAATAAGATTCAACCACTTCCACCAGTAACTAATATAAATTTAACCCACTTCTACCAGCAACTACCATAAATTTAACTCACTTCCACCAGGAACTACCATAAATTTAAATTCTGTTTCTCTTTTTTATTAACAACTCTTTAGTGTAAAAAACTAAAAAAAAAAATCAGTGTTTAGTAATAAATTAAAAAAAAAGGTACTATTTTATGTGCTAGATAGCATGCTCATAGATATCTTGCTCATGCATCTTACATACCATGCTTAGAATAATTCCTTATTGAGAGTCTAAAGTAACAGCTTAGAATAATGGATAATTAAAAATACAATATGCTCAGGGGTTTTGTATTTTTAATGTAAAAATTTTTTTTGCTAATAAGTTGGCAAATTTTAGTAGTAATTTTTCTTTTCTTTTTTTTATTAATTTGGTTTTTAGGTATAACAGTCACAGTGTTAGCATTAGGAAATTTGCATGTTAAAACTGGTGAACGAGTTATACTGTTTTGTCATATTTCAAAAAATAGTAATGTTTCATATTTGTGGTACAAAGATGGATTGATTTTGGAAATGGAAGGTAAATCAATGTTTGTAAAGGATTTTTCAATGGACGATGCAGGGGTTTATCAATGCAAAATAAGCAATTTTGATGATGTTCAGACTTCTATCAACTCAGTTACAATATCTGTTATTTGTAAGTCTACAAAATATCTGTTATTTGTAAGTCTACAAAATATCTGTTATTTGTAAGTCTACAAAATATCTGTTATTTGTAAGTCTACAAAATATCTGTTATTTGTAAGTCTACAAAATATCTGTTATTTGTAAGTCTACAAAATATCTGTTATTTGTAAGTCTACAAAATATCTGTTATTGTAAGTCTGCAAAATATCTGTGATTTGTAAGTCTACAAAATATCTGTTATTTGTAAGTCTACAAAATATCTGTTTTTTGTAAGTCTACAAAATATCTGTTATTTGTAAGTCTACAAAATATCTGTTATTTGTAAGTCTACAAAATATCTGTTATTTGTAAGTCTACAAAATATTTGTTATTTGTAAGTCTACAAAATATCTGTTATTTGTAAGTCTACAAAATATCTGTTATTTGTAAGTCTACAAAATATCTATTATTTGTAAGTCTACAAAATATCTGTTATTTGTAAGTCTACAAAATATCTGTTATTTGTAAGTCTACAAAATATCTGTTATTTGTAAGTCTACAAAATATCTGTTATTTGTAAGTCAAATGTTTTATTATGATGAAGACTTAACTCTTTTTTTTTCTATTTGTTATTTGATCAAAATTATTTGTCTATACCACACATCTACCTGATCATTAATTTGTTGTTGTTATTGTTGTTATTGTTGTTGTTATTGTTTTTGTTGTTGTTTTTGTTGTTGTTGTCATTGTTGTTGTTGTTGTTGTTGTTTTTGGTGTTGTTGTTGTTGTTGTTGTTGTTGTTGTTGTTGTTGTTGTTAATGTTGTTGTTGTTATTGTTGTTAAAAACTTATGTTTTTTATGTTTAATAATGAAGTTTTAAATTTAAAAAAATTATATTTAAGTTTATTGTATTTAATATTTGTTTTTATTTTGAATATTTTAAACATTTTTATAATCTTTTTTTTGGTTTTTAGTTCAATTTCAAAACTATTTTTATATTTATTTTGACTACTTATATTGTAAAACTAAAAAATTTATGGGGGCCCGTAGTGCCCGTTTTTAGAAAAATTTTTACACTTATAAATGATATTTATTTTGAGAAGTGGAGTAAAGCTGGTGAGGGCAAATAAATCTTAATATATATTATCCATACCTAATGAGTGTTTATAAATAAGAAAAAATTAAAATTAAAAATTTAAATGGCTGAAAACAAATGTTAAAAATAAAATATTATTATTACGACATCACTTTTTTTATAAGCAAGACATGTTATGCGCATTTAATTAACTGAATTACTTAACTATTTATTAACTGCTTTTATTATATTATTACCAAATACCCTTGTTTTATAAGGGTATTTGGTATGATAGTTAAATTTTTTTTATTTATTTAAACGCCATATTTAAAAATTTATGTTAAAAAAATATTTTATAAAATGTTGAAAAAAGTTTTTTTTTTAGTTTCTGAAGTTCCAACATTGACAATTCTACCTCACTCATCCAGTGCTGTCAATACATCTGTTGTTTTATCATGTGATATAAAATCTTATCCAAGACCAGTAATATCATGGCATAAAGATGAGGTTTTTCTTAAGGAAGGAACAGTTTCAGTTTTAGTCATACCAGCAGCCACACTAAGTCATGCAGGGAGTTATCAATGCATTGCTTCAAATGTGAATGGTAGGATAGCTTCGAAGGCTCAATATCTTGGTTTGTATTTAAAAATTCTCTTGCTCTATCTCTGATAATTTGAATTTGATTATTTAAATTAAGTACTCATTAAATTTAATAATTCATTAATTTTAAAAGTGAAAATAAATTTCAAAGTCAAAGTGAAAAGTTTGATCATATATATTTTTTGATCATATATATTAATTTTAAAAGTGAAAATAAATTTCAAAAGTCAAAGTGAAAAGTTTGGTCATATATATTTTTTCCATATAGTTGTTCTTTTAACTAATTATATTTTTTTAACAATCATATATTGATCTTATAAATTGTATTTATACCCTGATACACTTTCAAAATTTTTTTTTATTAAAAATAAGATTTAAATGAAGTATTAAGAAAATCTCTTTATCTCTCTTGTTCTTTAAATTTTCAAATTAAAAACTGAATTAGAATAATTAGAAAGTTAGTAGCTCAAAATTATTCAATTATTTAAATTAACAATAAATTTTTAAAAATTGTGTTTAAAAACATATATGAAATATATATATATATATATATATATATATATATATATATATATATATATATATATATATATATATATATATATATATATATATATATATATATATATATATATATATATACACTTACTAAAGCGTGTTTTGATAAGCATTTGCTCACTCTTTTTGCTTACCTTAAGCTATACTGCTTTTTTAGAAAAAGAAGAAAAAAAAACGAAGAATGACGAATGAAACGATTGCTGCCCCATCCCAAACCCTCAGTCGATGTAGCAGCACTCCACTGTGAGTCAGGCTATTTTTCAGTCGATGTATGTACTGAAGCCCCCAACAGCAGGCTATTTCAGTATCATGTCAAACTGCTTACCTTAGTACGCAATACTATTTGTATATATATATATATATATATATATATATATATATATATATATATATATATATATATATATATATATATACATATACATACATATATATGTGTATATATGTATGTATATGTATATATATATATATATATATATATATATATATATATATATATATATATATATATACATATAAATACATATATACACATATATATGTATGTATATATATAAAGATATATCTAAAGATAACTATATATAAATTTTTTATTTAGAAATAAAACCTTTATTACAAAAAATCATGCACAAAAGTTTTGATATCAATGAAGCCAATGTCACCTTGACTTGTACACCAAGTATGGACATGGTGAAGCTTTTGTTACTTTGGAATAGACAAATTAGTACAAATTCATCCAACCCAGTTGTATATTTTGCAAATGCTAATATTAAAAGTGTGCATTACCCAGATCATGTTTGTAACACACTTCCTAAAAACCAACAAGATATATCAATATTTCTTCAAAGTAAGTATTATAAATTTTAAGAAAAATTTTAAGAAAAAGTAGCTGAAAACTATTCATAAATTTTAAGAAAAAATAGCTAAAAGCTGTTTTTTAATATTTTGTTTGACAAAGTTGTTTATTTTAGATTTTTTTGTAAAGTAATTTTATTTTTTATAAATCTTTTATTTATATATACCTTATTGTACTTTATTTATTTAAATATTTTTATAATTTTTTAAAAATTTGTTTAGTGCTTGAAGAAGCATCTGTTGCTTTGTTTAAAAAAAGTAATATTTCATATCCAGTCTTAAATGAGATTCAAAATGTAAACTTTTCATGCCCAAAACAACCCTTCAAAAGTATATCACATGAGTGGAATATCACTTTTTATGGAGTTTATATCTGGGAAAGTGTTAAGTATATTGTAAAAAGTTCATCATTCAAAGATAGCAATTCTAGCAAATGCACAGCATCGTTTAGTGATGGTGATAACAAAATTGAATCAGTTGATATTGCAATCAAGTGTAAGTTATTAAAAATATTTTTAAAGTATGAAATGATTTTGTTAAAAAAAAAGAGAGCAGCAGTTTAATGGTAATTGATCTTTGATGCAATGGTGCTAATACTATATGAGAAATGATCTATGATGGTGTGATTATTATTCATATTACTTATATTTGCAGATTATTTCAAAACTTTTAATTTATGTGAGCTAAATTTAAACTTTAAAATTGGGTAAACAAATTTTTTACTTTTGTAAACTGTATATAAACTGGAGATTCCATAATAAATATTTTGATACTAAGTTCAGACAAAGTTCTAAATATTTGGTAACACTTGATACATTTTACAGGTAATTATTGAAGTATTATCAGGTAACTAACATCAAGTGAGTATATTTATTTCATATTTTCAACATACATTATTTGTTGGTTGTTAGATCAAATTGTATTATGTATAGTATTTATATCTTAAGGTGACAAAAATAGTTATAAATGGCTTTTTTTTCTGCTGCTTTTTCTGCTTCTTTTTTTTTCTTTTTCTGCTGATAAAAGTGTCTAAAAGAATGTTTTTTAGATTCTAGTCAAATTGTTTACACTATAAAAAAAGAATAAGATGGCTTTTTGAAAAAAAGTAATAATTTTTTTATATTAAAAGAAATAAAAAATTTCCTTTAAATAAATACTTAAAAACAAATTTAAATATTTTTCCAGAAAATTGCAATCATTTGCTGTCATCAAACAAAAAATTTTTTTTTTTTTTTATTAATCATTACTTACCACTGTTTTTTTGTATTCCATATGCTGATATTTTCTTAAAATGAAAATTTTTGTAAATTATATTTATTATGCATTTTTTACAATTTTATATATTTGGTTTGATCTAACAGGTAAATGCTCTTTTGATATCTGTTGGCTGTTTTTGATTGGCTATTTTTTAAATATTGTTGAGATGATTAAATGCTTTTGTAAACAGTTAGTAACTTTTTATTGAGTAATTCTTTACTCATGTGTTTGCAACCATAAATATTTTACATTTCCTTTTGGTATGCAGATATGAGTGGACCAAATAACCATGGATGTTGAATAAGAATCGTTTAAGATAATTGGCAGGGATTTGAGATCTAGCAAGGAAATCTAATAAAAGTTTCTAATATAAAACTGATAGTTTTTTTACTATCAGTTTTTTTTAATTTAAAAAAATTAAAAAAACAACCTCCCTGAGGCTGAGAAGGTCACTAAATGCGAGGAGGGTACTTAATTGTGATTAAAACCCTCTCTCAACTCTATAACTCCAAAACATGAACCTTGACAAACTGTTGTTTGCTGTGCAAAGAAACAAGTTATGATTGAAAAGATTGCAAAGATTCTAAAATTAATGAAATTTGAATCATCCAATTAGATTTTCTGATCTTTTTTTTCTGTTAATAAGTTTATTTTGTAAAAAAGTCACCTTTTTAGATAATGTCACTTAACCCAAACATACATAACATACAGAAAAAATTGTAAACTTTATTTCTTCATGTGTTTTAAGCATAACAAAATAAGAACTGTATTTTTGTATGATGTACAATGACTTTAATAAATTTAACACCTATTTGATTACTACTTTAATAAATTTAACACCTACTTACTTGAGAGTTAATTAAAAACTGTTTATAAAAATACTTGAGAGTTAATTAAAAACTGTTTATAAAAACTGTTTATAAAAATCACTAAAATAAATGGCATGAGTATTTCTTTGAGTAATTACAGACTAGTTTATTTTACTCCTAGATGAATATCTTTGATGGCTCAGTGGTTTAGTGTGCTGTCTCGAGTGTTGTTTTGAAGGGTTTGAGGCCTCTTCTCTAAGCGTAATGAGTTTTAAAATTTTTCAATCTTGTATATATTTATAACAAAATATATATAGGAAAAAAACTTTCTGATTGTCCAACAAATGTACGCAAACGCAAAAGATTGAGGTAACAGTTCACTTTCACTTGCCCATAAACAAAAGGTGAACGCCGCTCACATTCATGGCCTGTTAAGGTTTTAAAAGTTGAACAGCACAATAAATAAAGTGATCATGTTCACATGTGTGAATGGATTTGGGGGAGTGGCATTAGACCACCGAGCATATAAAACTTCTAGGAGAGGGAAGGGAGGGGGGAAGGTGGTGAGACCACCAAGTGTACATATGTATGGGGTGGGAAGTATTAAATTGTACAAGGTGCAACAGGGGAAGGATGGGGCTGTCCAAATCTAGAGATTTTTGCGTACATAATACATATATATATATATATATATATATATATATATGTATTTGAAGACATATATATCTTTTAAGTTGGGATCCTGTGCCGAAACCAAGGGCTTTGGGGTTGTATAATGTATTTAAGGAAGATTGGGGGAGGAGAGATCTGCATAAAGTGATCAATAAAGTAATGGATGGTGGAGTATGATCATCTTTTAAAGGCACACGCTCTAATTTAAAAAATCTTTCCTAATTTATACAGTTTTTTCAAAATTAAAACTTTTTAAATTATTTAAAAAACAAAAAAAGGGGGTGAGGGCTTCAAAATTGCAATTTTGAAAAAGTGCACATTTTGAACCCCCCTTCTTTTCAGGAGAGGGGGGGGAAGACTTAAAAGTACGCATGGCAACAGGAGGGAGGGTCAAATTTCTAAGTTTTTATTGTACATACTTTATGGACAATCCCTTTCCAAGCCCATTTGGTTGTTCCACAATTTTAAATTACTAGCTAATAGTACAGAAAGTAATGAATTTTAGGCAAGTAGATAGCTTTAAAATTATCTTTTATTATAATATGTTTGTTATATGCTAATATTATATATATAATTATATTTATACAGTATTAGCATATAATAAACATGACAAGCCAATGTAGCTAATATTATTATTGTTTATTTGTTATTTAATAATGACAATAAAGATACAGTATTAGTATTACACTATTAATGTAATACTTTTTACAATTATTTATTGTTAGATATCGACCCACCATTTATTGAATCATCACAGAACCTTAGTTTATTAATAGATGGTATTCAACTTATATTAAATTGTAATGCAGAAAACAGCCAAGTATTATTTTATCATTGGTCTAAAGATGGAGACATAATAAATAATCAAAGCAATTTATATTTTGAAAGTATAAACAAAACAACTTCAGGAAGTTACACCTGTCATGTCAGTAATGGCAACCTAAAAGCATCTGCAAGTGTGTTTCTTGATGTTCATTGTAAGTTGATTTATATAAATTGTTTTTACGTACATTTGAGATTTGTACATGAGAAATATTTATGCTTACACAGTAATCTTAAATAATTATAACATTAAAGAAGTAATATTTACAAAGGTTTGGTTTTGACAATTTTGTTTTAAAATCTGTTATAATAACCTGAGTATTTTTAGATATAAGTACACCACATCTATTGTTATCAAGTAATCAAACAGTTAATGAAGGAGAAACAATATACATGTCTTGTGAAGTAGATGGTATTCAACCTATATCAACAATGTGGTTGAAAAATGGGCAGTATCTCAACAATACTTCTGATAAAATTTTCCTCAATGTTAAAAGGAGTGATTCAGGCAGTTACAAGTGTATTGTAAAAAATAAAGCTGGTGAAAAGAGTTCCAATGAATTATATTTAGATGTTATGTGTAAGCTTTTTAGATACTCAACTAAATAATTGTTTTATAAGGTTTTTGTTCTTTCCCAATTTAAAAATAAACACTATTTTACAGTGCAGCTATTAAACAATAATAAATTTAAAGGTTATTTGTGTGGAAATCATTTTTTTAAGCCATTAAAAATTACTACTTTTTTTTTAAATTTTAAATTAGATATTGTGGTAGTTTTTTTTAGACCAAAGGTGGAAACTCACAAAAAAAATCAAGGACCAACAAAATTTTGTTGTGTTAATCGAATGAAAAATTTTTTATATTAGTGTTTGTTTTATAGAATTTGTCTTGATAGAAAAAAGGATTTTTAAAGTCTGAACAAAATATTTGACTAAAGCAAAAATTTTGTACAGTCTTATCTTTTATAAATTGAACTAAAGAAACACGACTATGAGCTTCATTTAACTGTTTCTAAACTCATATTATTATTAGTTTAGTTGCCATTCTTATCAGGATTTGTAATTCAGGAGGGAATTGTGAATTTTGTGTCTGCACACAAAGTCATATGCCTATGTACAGCTGTGAGCATGAAAATAGCAGTACTAAGAAATTGTTCGTATTTTCATTATTATTCTTCTTTGTGCTACATGGATTGATAAGTTCCCGGAATGGAATGTATGAATCATTGCTATAAAGATAAAATTTATATGTATGGCAAGTTCAGACCTGTATAAGATTACTATATAAATTTTAAGTCAGTTTATTATCTAGTTTTGTGTTTATAGCAAGTGAAGTAAAATAATCTCCATTTTTTTGCTGATATGGAAAAAACTGAAATTCGGGCAGTGATAAAATATCAATATTTGAAAGGCTTACAACCTCAAGAAATAAAAAATGACTTCAATAAAACTTTGGGTTCCTCTGCTCCATCGAAAACAACTGTTTACGATTGGTATAATGAATTCAAACGTGGTTGTTCAAGCACAAGTGACACAGAATGTTCAGGAAGGCCAAAAGAGGTCACAACTGAAGAAATGATCGAAAAAATTCATGATATTGTAATAGAAAATCGTAAAATCAAAGTTTGTGGAATTGCTAACCATGTAAACATTTCTTATGAACATGTTTTTTTAATATTTTACACAAACATTTGGAAATGAAAAAGCTTGCTGCCAGATGGGTGCCACACGTGTTGACTGTTGACCAAAAACGCAACCGAGTGACGACTTCTCAACAGTGTTTTGACATGTTTAATCCCAATCCATCGGAATTTATTACGATGGATGAAACGTGGATTCATTACTACACACCCGAGTCAAGGCAACAATCAGCACAGTGGTTAAAACCTGGGAAAAATTGACCAAAGCGACTGAAAACGCAGCAATCGGCTGGAAAGGTTATGGCAAGTGTCTTATGGGACGCACGTGGTATAATATTTATTGATTTCTTAGAAAAAGGAAAGACGATCACTGGAGAGTATTATGCCACCTTATTAAATCTTATACGGGATGAGATTCAGAAAAGCCGACCAAAAGCCGAAGAAAAATTTTTTGTACTTTATTTTTAGCACCCAGTGACTACTTTTTATTTCCTAATTTGAAATGATGGCTCCAGGAAAAGAGGTTCGCAACAAATGAAGAAGTCCGAAAAGAAACAAATGGATATTTTGAGGGACTTGAGAAAAATCATTTTAAGAAGGGAATTGAAATGTTGAAAGATCGATGAAATAAATGTATTGTTCTAAAAGGTGATTATGTAGAAGAATAAAACATATTTTTCCCGATATTTTTATTGTTTTTCTTGGAATTCCGGGAACTTATCAATCCATGTAGTATAATATAGAAAGACTAATTTTGTATTTGTGTATATAAAACAATGAGATAAGTAAACTGAGCATATGAGAATTCAATACATCCAAGAATACCGTTATTTTTGATAAAATTATTGTTATTGAGAGAATGCATTAAAATAGTAGTGGCTGTATTGATTTTAAAGTTAGTTTATAAAACTTAAAGAAATTTTTGTATTTTTTACTGGAAATATATTTTTTATTTATTTGTATTTTTGTTATCAATGTATTTTTAATACATTGTTTCCAGTTTAGGATGTTGAATGCTGGATCTTCTTGACTCGATGCATGGATTTTGCTTGTGTCTCTGTTTTTATGAGTAGGCAACTCATTCTATTACCTCCTAATGAGGTTACAGCTCTAAAACTCAGTTTTATGGTTCTGAGGTCGACTGGTAGTCAGTTTTCTCAAACTCTGTGGTAGCTTTCTCAAACTCTGTGGTAGCTTTCAGAGAGGCTGATTCCATCAACAGCTGAAAAATAAAAGTATTAACAGTGCAATATTGCACATGGATGGTGTCCCTGTTTGTACTTTTGGTGAGCATTGCCAAGGCCACATTGGAGCCCTTTGTTTCAACTTAGGGTTTATTAATAGTAATGAGGCAATTGCTTGTACTATAAAACAGTACACTGAGTACTATCTATGTTTTGTACTATCTTTGTGAGACTAATTTGAATTCAGCTGTCTCATCTTGTGATCGTCACACATCACATAGTGTTTATGGTTATCTTAAAGCAAAGACTTTAATAGTCACATGTTTAGCCTGGACATTTACATTTGTAAGAATTCACCCATTTGTCAGGAAATTAGGTTTGAATCCACAGACTACTCTTTTATGTGCTTTGGTTTAGCACCACTTAACTCTATCACCTTTCTCTTTGTTCTATATTGCTCTCTTTCATCTCAAGACTGCACTCTTCTTGATGTTATTTCTGATCATATTGACCAATCCCTCTCTCTTTATCCATCAGCCAATACTGTTGTTTTTAGTGACTTTAATGTTCATCACACAGAATGGCTTGGCTCTAGTGTCAGTGACTCTGCAGGCATTAAAGCCCACAACTTTTGCTTTTCTCAATCTCTAGCTCATATAGTCAACTTTCCAACTTGCTTTCCAGACAACCCGAATCATTTACCTTCTCTACTCGACTTATGTCTTGTTTCTGATCCTAGTCAGTGCTCAGTTTCTCCACATTCACCCTTAGGTGCCTCTGATCACAGTTTGATCTCTCTAAAACTGTTATCTTATTCTTCTTTGCCATCAAAATCCCCCTATCATTGTACATCTTACAACTACCTTAAAGTTGACTGGGGCTCTTTCCGTGATTTTCTTTGTGATGGCCCTTAGGTAGAAATCAATCGTCTTCCTGTTGACAAATGTGCTTCTTATATAACTTCGTGGATTCAAGCTGGCATGGAATCTTTTATTTCCTCTCGACGATTCCAGATCAAGCCTCACTCTTCTCAATGGTTTTCCTCATGTTGTGCTGCTGCAATTGTTAATCAAAACCATTACTTCCATATCTATCAGCAAAACAATTCTCCAGAAAACAGACATCTGTTTATTATTGCTAGGAACTATTGTAAAAAGGTTTTGTCTAAAGCCGAAGCCCGCTATTATCAGGTCATGAAATCTTGTATCTCATCACAAAAATTAGGGTCTCGTGACTTCTGAAGAATCTTTAATAGTATCAATAATAAGGGCAAGTCTGTAATTCCAACTCTTTTTTATGGTTCAGACTTTGTCACTTCACCTAAATACAAAGCTGAATTGTTTGCTAAGAACTTTTCATCAATATCATCTCTTGATTCCACTAGTTGCGTTCTACCTGATATAGCCGTCAAACAGGTTGATCCATTACTTGAGGTATCACTTCAGCCTCTGTATCTAAAGTGATTTCCTGCTTAGAGTCTTCTACACCTTGTGGCCCGGACAGCATATCTGTTATAGTCTTGCAAAAGTTTTTTCCGGAACTGTCGTCTATCCTTTCAAAACTATTAAACATGTGCTTATTCTTGTTTTTCAGCCTGCTGGAAAGCAGCATCTGTTATCCCTATTTTTAAAAATTCTGGAGAGCGATCTGATTCATCTAACTACCGTCCCATTAGTCTTCTTCCTATCAAAAGCAAGGTTTTTGAATCTTTAATTAACAAACACTAAATCTCTTATCTTGAATCTAATAACTTACTTTCTGATCATCAATATGGGTTTCGATCTTCTCGTTTTATCGCTGATTTGCTAACAGTAATAACCGATAGGTTTTATTGTGCATTAGATAAAAGTGGAGAAGTTAAGGCCATCACTCTTGACATTTCTAAAGCTTTTAACAAAGTTTGGCATCCTGGTCTTCTCCATAAGCTTTCTTCTTACGGTGTATCTAGAAACATCTTTAAGATTATTGAATCCTTCCTTTCCAATTGTTGTATAAAAGTTGCCCTTGATGGACAGCACTCTTCATCTTATTCTATAACCTCAGGGGTTCCTCAAGGTTCAATCCTTGGCCCTATATTCTTTTTAATTTACATTAACAATTTTCCAGATATTCTCACATCTAAGGTGGCATTGTTCGCTGATGATAATACCATTTATTCTTGTCATGATAGGAAGCCAACTCTCTCTGATTGCTTGGAGGGGGCATTTGAGCTTGAAAAGGATCTCACTTCTGCAAGGGGCTCACAGTGGCTAGTGAACTTTAATTCAGATAAAACTCAATTTTTTTCATCCAATCATTATCGAAATAATTTAGATCTTCCTATATTTATGAGCGGTAATGTACTTGATGAGTCATCTATCCTTCATCTTCTAGAATTACTCTTACTTCTGATCATTCTTGGAAACCATATATTAAATATGTTGCAAAATTAGCATCTGCTAAAGTTGCATCTCTTTCTCAAGCTTGACACTTTCTTACTCTGGATTCTATTTTCTATCTCTATAAATCTCAAATTCGGCCTTGTATAGAATACTGTTGCCATATCTGGGGCGAATCTTCCAATGTTGCTCTTTCTCATTTAGACAAGGTGCAAAAACGCATTGTAAACATAGTTGGACCTGCTGTTGCAGCCAAACTTCAACCATTATCACATTGCCGTAATATTGCTTCTCTTTCTCTTTTCTAATAATACTATAATAGGCACTGCTCTAAAGAGCTAGCGTCTCTTGTGCCATCTACTAAAATTCAGTCTCATG